AATTTAATATTTAATATAACTTGAGTGTAGGATTTGTTCATTATTTTTATTTTTCCCTTGATCTGTATTGATGTATAGCTCTATAATTCGTTCTAAAATTTTGTGTATTTCACAATTTCCCCCCTTTGTTTTAAAATTTTTGTGACGTAAAAATTTTCAAACAAACAACTTCTTTTTGGTCGGTATATGTTAAATATTATATTTGTACAAGTGTGTTATGTTAAAAATACCCCTTGATTTGTATCAAACAAAAAACTATGCTCTTATTCTAATTTGTAAAAATATTTGCCTTTGTAATTCGGCCTAAAATTGCATCAATTGACATAGGAGACTCATATTGTGGTATTGTATACTTATTTATGCTCCTCGCATCTAAACACAGCCTTATATCACCATCCTTCTTTTTTACAACTACTAATGGGTTAATAAATGAGGTATTACTTCGTTCAATAATATTTTCTTTTAATAATTGTTGGATTTCATTTCTGACCTGATTTTTGTAACTGTATGGTATGGGATACGTTTTGGCCTTAAAATTTTGTATATCATTTACTTCGATTTTGTGGACATAATTATTAGCTTTCCGTGTTTCTTTCTGAATTAACTTTTCATGCTTTCCTAATAAATCTTTTACTACATATTTATATTTTTCATCACATTGTATTTCTATTTCATTCACATCATCTATACCCTCTTCAAATTAATCATAAAATTCTTCTTTATTATAATCATTTATATTTTCATTTTCATTTATACGCCTACATGTTATCTTTCCTACCCTCTTTACGTTAGCTAATATCATATCCTCAAACTCTTGTTCTACATTTTCAAAATTCATCCACATATCATAAAGTTTTATTTTATTTTTTTCATAGTCAATTACAATTTTATGTTTTGAAAGTTGATCTGAACCTATAATAATCTCATATTCTAAATTTTGTACCATTAAAAGTTGTAAATTTATTTCTTTGTTATTTATAGTGACATTTATGTTCAATAGTTTATTTGCTGTATACAATTTCTTGTTATTAGCTCCTATTAAAGTTACTTGTGGTATTTTAATTATGTGTTTAGATAAATCTTGGAACTTTTTAACTAAATTTTCATTAATTAAAGATATTTCTGATCCAGTGTCAATTAAAGCAATTTTATTAAAATTTTGATGTTAAATTTTTATGAAAACTAATTTAACTTGTTGTGATTGTTCTGAAATTTCATTTTTATTATTTTCTACAAAAATAAATTCTCTAGGATGTTCAAATGTGCAAATTTTAGGGTCCTCATTTGGTTTGCTTTTTACTGAAAATTTTGTTGATTGTTATTGTTTTGGGACTGGTAATTTATTTGGTCATTGTTATATTCCTGAAATTGTTGATAATCTGTTGAAATTTGTCTATCATTATTCCCTGAATTTCCTCTATTTAGTGAATGTGATCTTTCGTTATTGTTATAATTTCCCCTACTTCGGTTATCTCTCTCTACACTACGACTAGTATGCTGTCTTTCTACCCTATTAAAATTTACTTGTCTTAAATTTCTTTGATTATGGTTAAAATTTTGTTGATTGTTAAAATTTTGTATATTTTGCCCATTATTTCTATTATTGTTATTATAATTGTGTGTACTGTTCTGATAATTGTTTCTGTTAGTGTTGTTTTGATTGTAATTGAAATTGTTTCTATTGTTGTAATTATAGTTTCTATCTCTGTTTTCGGTATAATTATGGTGTTGTTGTCTGTTAAATGGTGTATTTTGTATATTTGTGTTATTGTTGTAATGTCTGTAGTTTTGTTGTTGTTGATTGTTGTTTGCCTGGAAATTTCTATTTCTTAAATTTGATCGATTATAATTGTTATTAAAATTTCTAGAATTATTATTTCTATAACTGTCATATTGATTGTCATTATTTCTATTTGTACGTCTAGTTATTCGGTTTAAGTAATTGCATAGCTGGTCCATATTGCATATATTATTTATAGCTAAACTTTCAGCAATTTCCTCCTTGAAATGACGTGAAATATACTGTACAATTTCATTTTCATTTAGTTGAGGTGTTAAATATTTTGCATTTGCATATAATCTTAATGCATAGTTTGTCATGGTGTTGGACATTTTATCATTGTATTTTCCAAAATATAATCTTTCTCTAATCATATTCTGATTAAAATTTCCCCAATATTGATTTAAAAACTGTTGCTCAAATTCTTTAATATTCTCTATGTCACTTTCTTTTCCTGTAAACCATACATTTGCCTCCCCTTCTAAATTTTCTCTTATCACTTGTTTTAATTCCTCACTGTCATGAATGATTTTGCACTTGTTTTTAATACTTTTTATAAATACCATGGGATGTATTACACTAATTTTACCATTAAATTTCACTGTCGGTGCACTTTTATCACATGTAACATATCTAATTTCTAATTGTTGCTGTTCGGCTTGTTTGGTTTTCAACATTTTAATTTCTTTGTTCAATTCTTCTCTTAAGGTTAATATTTGGTTATGCTGTTCTTCATTAATTCCATTCCTGTCTCTTCCTTGTATATTTTCTTCAATTTCTTGAATTTTTTCTTGATTGTTCTTGATTTTTCCTTTCATGTCTTCCATCTCACAATTTAGTACTATTTCTTTTTGTTGCATCTTTTTTTCCATGTTTTTGTAACCATCAATCCACTCTTGTATTTTTATTAAACATTCCTTGATGTTTTCTTTTACTTCTTTAACCAGCTTTTCTTCTACTTTATTTATTTTTCCATCAATTTCTTCTTCTAATTTCTTGTGTTCGATGTTACATTGATGTTGAACTTCATCCAATCTTTTTTCTACTCGTTCTATTGCTTTTGCAATATCTTCAGCTATTTCTATTCTTAAAATTTTCCTTTGCATTTCAGCTTCTTCTTTTTCCTTCTTTCTTTGTAGTTCTGCTTCTTCTTTATCTTTTTGCCTTTGCATTTCAGCTTCTTCTTTTTCCTTCTTTCTTTGTAGTTCTGCTTCTTCTTTATCTTTTTGCCTTTGCATTTCAGCTTCTTCTTTTTCCTTCTTTCTTTGTAGTTCTGCTTCTTCTTTATCTTTTTGCCTTTGCATTTCAGCTTCTTCTTTTTCCTTCTGCCTTTGCAGTATTGCTTCTTCTTTTTCTTTTTGTCTTTGTAAATCGGCTTTTTGGAACATTTCTTCCTGTTTTTTTCTGAGTTTCTTTAAACCTTCCTTCAATGTCTTTCTTTTGTTCTTGAAACAATTCCCTGATCCAATCCATATCAGTCCTTCTTTCTTGTTTTCTTTCTTTCCTTTCCCCCCTTACTTCTATTCCAGTTACTGTATTTGTTTCTTCTGTACTCTCCATTTCTTCAGAACTGCTTCTTTCTTCTACTTTCCACTTCTTAAATCCATTCTATTTTAAAATACTTTAATTTACACTTTTATTTTAATCACTTTTTTTTATTTATTTCAGCCCCTGTATATTTTCAACAGAACCTTTTATTTAAGAAATCACCTTTTCAACAAAGCAACTTTTCAAAAGAAAGCCACACTTTTTTTTTTTTTTTTTTTAGGAGAGCCCCACGTTGGCTAGCGACAATATTTATAATGTAATTAATTATAATTTTTCTTTTATTATTATTATTTAATTGATTATTTTGATTGACTGATTATTGGATTTTAATTTTTGTTCATGTGTATAAAAAAAAATTCAATTTTTATTTTAATTTATTTGATGAATGGTAAATGATTTTAATATTTTGGTTAATATGTGTAATTTGTTAGAATATGATTAGTAAAACTATATTTTGTTTAGGATATGCTATTGATTGTTGGACGCCTTTAAAAAAAAATTAATTACAATATTTACCTGCCATGCTTATCACTATGTAAGGAACTTTATAGAGCTAGACCTCTTTCTCTCTGGGTACGCGGTTCTGGGATGTTATAACACTCTTTATATATAAATTTGTATAACCATTTTATTTTGCGCTTTAAAATTTGCTTTAGTTAATTATTGATTATAGATCTAGATAATAAAAGATTAAAATTCAACTCGTAACAAATCAGATATATTAAACATAACTCCTAGTTATAATTGACAAAATTAAATTTTTAATTACTACAAACTATCTTTTATTCTAATTTTGTTAAATATTTTTATCGATCGATAT